GGCAGGGAGGCCGAGGCCGAATTTTTGGAGCCCACAATAAAATAAATCTTTGAGACGACCAGGATCCATTCTGTTCCTTTGCTATGAAGTTGTAATTGAAATATCATCATACTTGCTGCATGTTAGACATGCATGAAAAAAAAAATCAACACATACTCTATTTTTATACTAACATATTTGAATATACTCCAATTATGTTTACAACCAAATGAACTCAAGTTTAGGCTTAGGATTTTAATAGCAAAACTTTATAAGTGTATAGCTCCTTGCACATACACCAATCATCAATCAGCTGGAAGTAATGAAATATTTATTTTTTATTCTTATGAAGTTATTACTCAATCTTAGTTTTACTCAAGCAAAAATATTTGGTGACTACGTAGTCATTTATCTTACAGCTAGAGGAATGCTGCATAGACCTTCACCCATAATATATACATTGCATTCATTGTTAGATTATCTTATTTATCAACACCCTAAGATAATCTTCTAATACACAAATATAGTCCATCAATTATTTTCTTTCCCTTCACAATATTAATATTGCTAAATAATATTCAGGATTTAGAAAGTGTGAATTGGTATGTAAAGGTTGGAGGAGTTACATTTCCCATCTTCTATTAATATTTTTTCTCTAAATCAATAAATATCATATGTAGATCATCCTTATTCATTCTATACTTCTTCATCAAACCTCTCAACAAATGTATAGCTTCCATAATAAATCTACTCGACATGAATCCAAATTGATTTTGAGAAACATCTGTATCATATCATAAACTATGCTCAATAACTCTCTCTCATTGTTTTAAAGTATGCCACATTAACTTAATTCTTCTATAATTCACTCACTCTTCTGCATCACCTTTATTCTTAAAATAGGAATCAACACATTGCTTCTCTACTCATCAACAAGATCTTCAAAACAATATTGAAAAGTTTCGTAAGTCATGAAATACCTTCATTTCCTAAGCGTTTTCACACCTCTATTGGAATATCATCAGGACCAACAACTTTTCCACTTCATTTTCTTTAAAATATCTATAGCTTCAATTTAACTAATATGCCAATAAAAATGAAATTTTCTATTTTTTGTTAGGGTGCTAAGGTCAATAAAGTCAATTATATTCTCAAAATCTTCATTGAAAAGTTTATCAAAACATTTCATCCACCTTTGTTGAATATCCGCTTCTAATAAAAGTGTTTTTTATCTTCATTTTTAATACACTTCATTTGAACTAAATACTTATTTATCTCATCTCTTTGCTTGGCTAACATATGCATACATCTTTCAATCTCCTTAGTATATAATCTATTATATAAATCACTAAAAGCTAAATTCTTTACATCACATATTATTTTTTAGACTCCTTACAGACCTCTTTATATTTTTCCCAATTTTTTTGAGTTTTTACATTTAAAATAATTTTAAAACAAAGCTTTTTAATTTTTATTATTTCTTGCACATTTTGATACCACCACCAACGATGTTTAATATTAAGAGTTTTTAATTTTTATACTCCAAGCATTTCTTTTGCAACATTCTTAATATCATTAATAATGTTAAAAAGTTAAGAAAAGAAATCCGCTCATCTTCTAAAGCATTTCTACACCTCTATTGGAATATCATCAGGCCCAACAACTTTTCCATACTTTATTTTCTTTAAATCTCCTCTAACTTAAATTTTACTAACATGCCGATAAAAATAAAGATTTTTATTTTTATTTAGAATGCTAAGGTCACTAAAATCAATTGTATTCTAACAATCTTCATTAAAATATTTAGCAAAATATCCCATCCATCTTTGTTGAATATCTTCTTCTAATAAAAAGCACTTTTTGATCTTCATCCTTAATGTACTTCACTTGAACTAAATACTTACTACTCTTGTCTCTTTGTTTGGCTAACTTATACATATATCTTTCACTCTCCTTAGTATCTAATATATTATAGAAACCATTAAAATCTAAAATTTTTGCATCGCATATTACTTTCTTAAACTCCTTACGAAGCTCTTTGTATATTTCCCAATTATCAGAATTTTTACATCTAAACTAATTTTTATAGTAAATCTTCTTATTTTTTTATCTTTTCTTGCATATTTTAATTTCAAAACCAACTATTCTTACTATTCTGAGTTTTTACTTTTCATACTCCAGGCACATATTTTGTAATATTTTTAATATCACAAGCTACTTTTTCACACATAACATTAGCTTTCTCATACACAGACAAAATTTTTAAGATCTAGAATTTTACTCTAAAAAATATTTTTGTTAATATTTTTAAAAGTCCTCATCTAATCCTAGAACAATGTTTTACTTTAATTTTTATATTCTGCTCACACATCTTAGAGTCCAAAACTAATAAACGATGATGGATACATAAACTTTCACTCGTAATAACTTTACAATATTAGAAATATAAACAATCTATTTTTATTACCAGAAATTAATCAATTTGAGTTTTACTATATTCATTTTATAAGTGATGAGAAGTTCATCTATTTTCTTAAATAAATTATTAGTAATTACAAAATCATTAGTTACAAAAAAGTCTAATATGGTCTTAGTACCTTCATTAGTCGCTCCAAACTCATAGACATCATTAATGTTTTTAAAATCATCTACCTCTCGACCAACATGTCCATTTAAATCTCCTCCAATAAAAACTTTTTCTTCAAGAGATATTTTTTATATTAATTTTCTATCATTCTAAAATTTTAATTTTGAATACATATCCAAACTTATTTGAAGAGCATAAGCAATTTTAATATTAATAATCTTAACATCATCAACAATCTTTAAAGTTATAATTCTATCCTCAATTCTATTAATTTTTACAACATTATACTTCAAACTCTTATCTATAATCACACATACACCATTTCTAATACGACTTCTACAATAATAACATACTTTAAAACCTAAACTATCAATCTCCTTAGTCTTCTCTCCAATCCATTTAATTTCTTGAATGCATAAAATATTTATCTTTCTATGGATCATGATATATACTAACTTTATTAATTTGGTTGTAAGGGAACCTATAATCCAAATTTTTATATTAATTTTAGTTTTATGGACTAGCTTATTTGCCCACATCCATCCTTGATGTGGAAACTCTTGCCTACTTAACACTGCACTCAGATGCCGGTGTAGTGACCCTTTCACACTTCTCGTTATATTCAAGTCATATAGCGTGTCACTTCTAGGGAACGCTTTAGCATTAACACAATGTACTGAATGATTCATGTCATGAATTATCAACAAGTTTTACACTGCCAATTGACCACCTAACGCAAACCTACATTTTTTTCATCCAAAACTTGAGACCTGGCAACAACATTGTTCCTACATTTTTTTGTATTTAATCAATATTGGATTAAAATTGAGATTGTGTTTAATCAAATTCATTACAATAAAAATTTATGTCAATTGCCTGAAGCTCTAACTGTGTTTATTTGTGATCATTAATTCTCATTGTTAATTTTATGTCAATTGCCTGAAGCTCTAACTGTGTTTATTTGTGATCATTAATTCTTATTGCTAATTTTATGTCAATTGTCTGAAGCCGGAGAACTTCCATTGAGATAATATCTATCATTTCCTCGATAAATTTTTTTGGCTTAATAACCTAGATCCCACAATTGTTTCCCATTTGTGTTTTTTTTTTTTAACCATATGATAGATAAACATTAAAAATCCTAGACGTTAAAGTTACGGCATCACAGTTGATGAAGCTCAATTTCAGATCCTACGAGTTTGACTCCAAAGGTCTGCTCTACAAAACTCACTATAATGCTGCTCGCCTAAATAACACCATAGAATTTTATCAAACTTTTAATAATAGAACGAAAAAGATAATCTTTATATTAACTGTATTAATTTAATTTAATTCAGGTCAAATTTGAGACGAAGTTATTCTTTCTGCAAAGAGTATACAAATAAACCACCTGTATATATTCAGACCAGCCTAGCAAATAACTCGTAACATTCAACCTTCTAAAAAGCATATCTTGCATATAATCCGCCAAATGCTATATTCACAAGACATAGAACAAATTTTATTGATAAAAACTTACTAATAAGTATTTATTAACTAACTAGGAGAGATTTGTAATTAAATGCAACAATCTAATATTATTCTTTTGTTTTAAACAAATCATGTAAATATCGATGACGGAAACCTTTGAGACCCAAAAAACTGTAGAGTAACAGCTATAATACGGACCATATATTTATACATAAGACAGAAAAAAAATCAAAATATACCTATTGACAATTGCAGAATACATTAATTTAATCCGGAAAACAAAGTTAGCAATTACGATTTAACTAGAGCTTAAAGCTTCGTTTGGGACAGCTTTTTAACTGCTTATTAAAGCAGCTTTTTAGTACAAAAATTTTAATTTTTCTATTAAAAAGCTGCTTTAAGAAGCAATAAGAAAGCCGTCCCAAACGAAGCATAAAAAACAAAGGAAACAATTTTGCAGGAGGGAAAGAGAGATCAGCCTAGCATCTCATGAGCAAAAAACATGTCTAGGTAGTTGCATTTTCTAAAACCCGGAATAACGAATCATAAGTCTGAGCAACATGAGCACCGAAATTCATTTAGCATGACAGCAAGTTATCAAAATTGTGTAGACGAACTGATTATAAGGACGATGAACGAAGTGGGTTTAGGTTGCAACAAATACGGTAATAAAAAATAAAATAAACAATAATATATGTCTAGATGCCAATAGCCACAAGTCTGATTACAAAATACATATGCACGGTTTGGTGAATAATTCTTTGGCATCCATTCCTATTCAGCCAGCATTATAATGCAAGTATTTGTCCAAGCCATATCAAGGGGGTTTCAGAATAAATATTACTAAATTAATAATTACTTTCATTTTTTGCAACCAAAATTTTGTTTACTAAATTAATAATTACTTTCAGTTTAAAACTAAAAGAAAACTGAATTTAAAAAGTGTTTGGCTGATAGAGTACACCTGAAGTAGCTCTTTCAGACCCATCAGCTTTGGCTGTCCATCAAGAATTCTAGAAAAAAAAAAGGATGCAATATAACAAAATAAGAATTGTCATATCAAACTTATAGTTACCGAATATGACTGCAGTATAATCAAAAAATAGTACAGCGCAGAATCCAATCACATAAACTTATGATACAGCAAAGCACGAGTGTTCTTAACAAAAATAAGACTGACAAGATATGAACTTGATAACAGCATAATAGAGGGGTTGGGGAAATGGTAAAATCAAGGTCTTCCTTCCATGCAAAGAAAACTACATAGCATGCTTACACACCTCTCATTTTATTCCTTTTAGGACCAATATTAGTAGGTCATCGTGAAAAACCAAGAATTTGAATTGGACACATTAAGTTTTCTATAGATCGCTGGCACTGAGATACAATGTAATGCGTTTCCATGAAAATGAAGGTATATACATCATTTACATTTAAAAAATAAATATTATGAAAGATTTTCCAAATCTGATAGAAAAGTTATTGAGAATCCCTACACAGGGAATGATGTATTAACGTCCACACAAGATCTGCGCAAATGACATAATGTGCGGTGATCCATCATTCCCTACAATAGGGAATTCCCTCTACATTTGCTGTTCCTTTATGATGCCATCTAGACCAAAACTACATTCATTTTGAGTACCAAAATTTTGACCCAAGCTATAGATGCTTGCAATGCAGTTTTCTTTAAATGAGTGGATGATCTTAGGCTTTGTTTAATACCGCTTTCTTACTACTTCTAAAGCAACTTTTAGTACTAAAATTTCTTGAACTGAAAATTTTTCTACTAGAAAGGTGGTTTAAAAAACGGTAAAAAAATTATCTCAAATGAAATCTTAATTGCTGTTAACGTATGGAGTTCATGAGCATGAACCACTCAACTGATTATCTTATTAGCCCCAAAATTAAATGATAATCATGATAATCAAGAATGTCTGTATTGGTCACAGTACTTGCCTAAAGACACTTGCACTGTAAATTCAATGTTGCCATTACAATGAAAATCATATAACATAATTTACCTTAAATATATATATATACACACATATATATGACAAGAGACATTGTTCACAATCTGATGTGATATTGGCATAATATACATATTCATCATAAGTATGTTTTTTTATCCATTCTTTGCACAGGAAAAACAACCAACGATATGTACTCCAGGCAATCCTCAACTTCATAAGCGAGGACAAGTGAGTTTTTTATATGCTTGTTTGCTCAGTGAATACATGTTGACACAAAAGCAATTAAAGTGTGCCAGGAATTGGAGAGAACTTACTAAGAATTTCAATTCAACATTTGCATAATATTTATAAAATCTTACAACTACTAAAAGAAAACATACAAAATCAAGGGATAATGATCACATAATAAATACAATAGTCCAAAGATTGATGACATAGAAAAAAAAAATAATTATAATAGACCACAGATTGATGAAATCGTACTAATAATCTGACTAATCACTAAGGTGGAATGAAGTGAATAAGGTAGAGAATTACAAGGCTTGCTGGAAAATTTATGGAGACATTGATTTTTTCACAAGTGTCATAAATAACAATGAAATAGATTATGAAATTAAATTTACTTTCACGTGTCCCTCATATCTAAAAACTATTTTGTTCCCTCGCTTCGTTTCACTACTTTAGCATTCTTTATTTCATAATTCACATGTTTTTTATCCTGCAATTATAGGTTAACAATTCCAGGCTTCCATATAAATATAATTAAGTGTATAAGATTAAGGTCATCAAATTTTTGATGTAAAATAAGGTTAAAACTCCAATGGAGCCAGATATGAACCAACTAGATAGCTTGAATCAATCGAACAAAAAACATTTAACCACCTAAACCGGACTTCAATGAGAAACGATTTTAGTATAAAATACATAATGTTGTCATTTCCCATCAATGTTTTAAGCTCAACACGTAATTAGAAACAAAAAAAAAACACGAATTGACACCCCAACAAATAGAATTGGATTGTTTAATAACAGTCAGACCAAAGCTTTATATAACAACAGTTTTTTCTCTCCCATATTACATCTCATTTCATAAAACCCATCTCAAAACTCCCCTTCTGTATTGATTAAAGTTTATGTTGGCAACTGAAACAAGAGCACGCTAAAATCTTAAAATAAGCTTCGTAAAGAAGTTTAATAACAACAATTTTTTCTTTATTTGCCATAACTTTATCAACTTAGCATCTATGTGCCAGTAATTCAAATATTTGACATATTCAATGATCACGAAATAAAATACCGCCTAGCCAAAGAGTATAAAAAATTGAAAGTTTTACTAGAAAGAAATTACCAATTGAATTGAAACTTATATATGACAATCATTCGCAAAAACCGGTTCTTCTTAAATGTTTGGATTTAGCTTGGAAAGAACTTTTTTGGTTTTCACTGAGAAGCAATTGCACTCATAATTCCATTGAAATACAGGTTGTGAATTTCTTACCCTACCATATTGCAGCTGAAACTAGATTGCAAAGCTGTGAGACGGTAAAGGTTGTTGAGCACAATGGCTGGGTCTGAACCCCTTTTCAACTGAATAAATGACATTTAGAGAATAATTACAACGAAGCAGATATAAGGAACAAATTTAATTTTTAATATTGAGAAAGAAAAGAATTATTTGGCAGTTTCAGAAGTAAATTATTAAAAAAAATTATAAAAGAGTCAAACCTCTATAACAACACGCATCCCAGTGCGATCACTCTCATCCCGAATATCACTTATTCCATCTAATATCTGAATGGAAGTAGTTAGAAAAATATCATATTGCAGCAATGACTCCTACATAGTATGTTCCCAAGCGCAATCAACTGAATACAGCTAGCATAAATTATTTGCAAAGTCAATTGTTAGACCCCATAAAGGAATTAAATTAGAGCAAATTGCAAAAACAATGCTCAATTCATACATCCAAACCATTGATAAGGGATGCTGGTTATTTACGAAGGCTCTATATCAGCAACTGTTATGCAAAACTTTCTTCATTTATTTAAATAAATAACAGGATAACACTTTATGCAGCATAAAATAATGATTAAAACTAGTAAGAGAGTTTGACAAACACAAGAATCCTAGATTTATAATTTCATGTGTTAAACAAGAAACTCCAGAGAAAGAGCAGTGAGATCCGCCCAGGACAAATATAACTCTGCGGATAATCAACAACACATCTAATCCACTTGGTCTTGCAATGGAAAGGTGATAAAAGAAAACAGGAGGAAATCAAAACATTGCAAATGCAAAAATTTGTAAAACAATCAACAACTATATAGACACATTGGCGGATTCGAAATTGTCTACCCATCTTCATGTTAACAGCACTCAAATTTTGCATCAGCAATGGCAGGTATCACATGAGAGTAAGAGTACTCACTATCTGCACATATCATAGGGTACCAATGCCAGGGCATTCAATGTAATACACAAAATTTCCATTAGGTGAGGTGAAAATTTCTTCTAAAATTATATCTTATTTTGCCCATCCCAAAAATAATCAAAACTATTTATAAAATGCGCTGTATCATTTTGATGAAGTTTCATATGATTTTACTGTGACAAAAGACTAATGAACTGCAGCAAATCGATTTTATCCACTTAGAGGCGCATGCAAGGACATATTTAGAAGAGACGATGCTAATTTAAAAGGGATTTAGATAATTACTAACATAGTTAATATAAATCCAAATAAACCTAAGCATTAAACTCACTCCCATTCCCACATTTCTTCCAATTTTCCCATAATCAGCAGCTCGGACACATTTTAAAAATTGATACTATAAGGAAAAGAATAAAAGAAAATTAACTATAAAAAATTAAATAGGCACAGTTACCTATTAAACAGAACACTGTCGTTGCCAGGTCCCAAGTCCTGGATGAGAAAAGTGGAGGGCTGCGTTAGGTAGTCGACAGCCAGCGTAAAACATGTCAAATAATAATAACATAAATCCTTTAAGAAATTGTGTCGATGCTAGGGCGTCAACCTGAAAGCGACGTGCTGTATGGCTTGAATACAGTGACAAGTGTGCAAGGGCCGCTGCACCGCCACCCGGTGCAGTGTTAAATAGGCAAGGGTTCCCACATCAAGGACGGATGTGGGCAAAGAAACTAGTCCATGAAACTAAAATTAGGATAGGTACTTGGAATATAGGTTCCCTTACAGGAAAATTAATGAAATTAATAGATATTATGATTCATTTGCAGTTAAATATTTCGTGCATTCAAGAAACAAAATGGGTTGGAGAGAAGACTAAGAAAATTGATAGTTTATGATTTAAACTTTGGTATTCATGTAGGAGTCAAACTAGAAATGGTGTAGGTGTTATTATAGATAAGAGTTTGAAGGATAATGTTATAAAAATTAATACGATTGAAGATATAATTATAGCTTTAAAGATTGTTATTGATGCTAAGATTGTTAATGTTATAAGTGTTTATGCTCCTCAAATCGGTTTGAATATGAGTTTTAATTAAAATTTTGGAATGACTTAGAAGAATTAATACAAAAGATACCTCTTGAAGAAAGAGTTTTTATTGGAGGAGATTTAAATAAACATGTTGGTAGAGATGTAGATTTTAAAAGCATTCATTGTGGCCAAGGGTTTGGAACGACAAATGAAGGTGGCAACACTATATTAAATTTTTTTTAGCTTATCATTTTTTAATTGCTAACATCTTATTTAAAAAAATGAGCATCTCATCACTTATAAAAATAGATATAGTACAACTCAGATTGACTATTTTCTTATAAGAAAATTAGATAGTTTAGATTGCAAAAATTGTAAAGTTATTCCGAGTGAAAATTTATATTAGTTTTAGAATTTAAGATAAAGGGGTGGAAAATAAAAAATAAAGTAAAACAATATTCTAGGATTAGATGGGGGCATTTAAAGAATATTAACAAAAAATATTTTTGAGAGTAAGATTTTATCTGTCATAAGGATGCTAATGTTATGTGAAAAAAAGTGGTTAGTGATATTAGGAATATTGCAAAAGATGTGCTTAGAGAATCAAAGGAAAAAGTTCCTATTATTAAAAATAATTGGTGGTGGAATCCAAATGTGCAAGAAAAGATTAAAAGTAAGAAGAATTGTCATAAAAATAGGTTTAATTTTAAAAACACTGATAATTGGAAAAGATATAAAGAGGCTCGTAAGGAATCTAAGAAAGCAATCTGCGATGCAAATATCTTAGCTTTTAGTGATTTATATAATATATTAGATACTAAGGTGGGAGAAAGATATATGTATAAGTTAACCAAATAAAGTGATAGGAGTAGTAAGGATTTAGTTCAAGTGAAGTGTATTAAAGATGAAGATCAAAAAATACTTTTCTTAGAAAATGATATTCAAAAAAGGAGGATGAGATATTTTGCTGAGCTTTTTAATGAAGATTGTGAAAATAAGATTGACTGTAGTGCCCTTAGCACCCAAAATGATAATAAAGATTTCTGTTTTTATCGGCGTATTAGTAAAATCGAAGTTAGAGATGCTTTAAAGAAAATGAAGGGTGGAAAAGCTGTTAGACGTGATGATATTTCAATAGAGGTGTGAAAATGCTTAGAAGATGAAGGAATTTCTTGACTTACTAAACTTTTTAATACTGTTTTGAAGACTAAAAAGATGTCAGATGAGTGGAGAATAAGTGTTTTAATTCCTATTTTTAAGAATAAAGCTGATGCACAAGATTGTGTGAATTATAGAGGAATTAAGTTAATGTGTCATACTTTAAAACTATGGGAGCGTGTTATGGAGCATAGGTTACGACGTGATACTAATGTTTCTCAAAATCAATTTGGATTCATGCCGGGTAGGTCGACTATGGAAGCCATACATTTATTAAGAGGTTTGATGGAGAAATATAGAGAAAATAAGGAGGATCTACATATGATATTTATTGATTTAGAAAAAGCATATGATAAAGTTTCAAGAGATGCTATGGAGAGTTCTTGAAAAGAAAGCAGTTAATAACGCTTATATTCAAATCATTAAAGATATGTATACAGGAGCTATTACTTGTGTTCAAACACAGTTGTTTGACCAAGTATTTCCCTATTTTGATTGGGTTACATCAAGGATCCGCCTTAACTCCATATCTTTTTGCTTTAGTCATGGATGTTCTCACTAGACATTTGCAAGAGGATGTACCTCGGTGTATGCTTTTTGCTGATGATATTCTTCTTGTTGAAAAGACTAGAGAGGGAATTGAAGGTAAACTTAAATTATGGAGGTCAACCTTAGAGTCTAAAGGTTTTCGCTTGAGTAGATATAAAACGGAATATATGGAGTGTAATTTTAGTAGTAATAGACCTAGTGAGGTGATTGTGACATTGGACGATCAAGTCATTAATAAGAGTATACGTTTTAGATATCTTGGATCTATTGTTCAGAGTGATGGTGAAATAGATGGGGATATTATTAGCAGAATTCAAGTTGGATAGTTGAAGTGGAATGCATCAGGCTTGCTGTGTGATAGAAAAGTACCCCTCAAACTTAAGGGAAAATTTTATAAGATGATGGTGAGGCCTGTAATGCTTTATGGTGTCGAATGTTGGACATTAAAAGAGAAGCATACAAAGTTAAGTGTGACAGAGATGAGGATGCTCAGGTGGATGAGTGGCTTTAGCCTTAGAAATAGGATACGACATGAGCATATACGTGAAAAGGTTGGAGTAGCTCCAGTAGAAGATAAGATTAAAGAGAGACGCATTAATGGTTTGGTCACATAAAACGGCGGCCTTCCGATGACCCGGTTAGGAAAGTAGAGGTATTAGATTTGACTTATGTTAAAAAAGGTAGAGACAGACCTAAAAAGACTTGGTTAGAAAATATTATGAATGACCTTTATTTATTAGATTTAAACGAGAATTTAATTTTTAATAGGACGCAATGGAGAAAAAGGATTAATGTAGCCAACCCCACGTAGTGGGATAAAGGTTTGATGTTGTTTTGGTTGTTGTTGTAGTTGCCTATTAAACGAATTATTGGCCTCTCAATCACGCGCAAATGATAAAAAAAGCAAATTTTAGAAAATGAAATTTTTTTATAGCTCCAAACGAGCCAGTAGCCAATTTAATTGGCAACTCGTGTGTTCACATTTAATTGTGTTCTCCGAAAAAAAAAATTCTCAAGTGAGCTTCAAAATTTTCTCATTTTTTCTACGCCGAACAAATTTGTTCTCTAGCAAAAATATTTTTTTCCAGCAAACTACAATTTGTTTGTGAACAAATTTTTTCCCCAGCGAACTTCAAATATTTTTTCTCTCCAGCGAACAATTTTTTCTCTGGCAAAAAAAAAATCTCTAACAAACTTCAAATTTTTTCTCCGACCAAAATCAAGGAAGAAAAGCTAAAGCAATTATTTCTCGCTATAAATCCCTTCTCTCTTTATCTACCAACAATTGATCGTTTCATTCATGCACGGCAAACACTAAACTGCTTATCAAAAAACAGGGCTCTCAAAATTTATGTGAAAATTTACTTTTTCTTTTCTTCATTGAAGTTCATCGCACAAAAATTTTGTTTGCTAGAGAAATTCTGAAGTTCATCGGAGTTTAATTTCGTTGGATAAATTTGATTTCATGCGAGAAAATTTGTTAGCCGGAGAAAAAAATGGAGAAAATTTTTATTTGCAAAAAATTTGAAGTCCGCCGGGGAAAAAAATTTACTGCCAACCGTTTGAATAGGCAGCTAGTTGTTCAGAATTTAAAATATAAAAAAATTCATCCCCTTTTTTCCTCAT